TTCTAAAAAATACAAGACGGTATGATGGCTGCGGGTACAATAAAGTCTAGAATACATGTAGGCTGATCAGTCTCTCTGCATTACTCCATCTGCGCTTCAAGCCACCAACATGCATTATTTCATTTATTAGAATCTTCTGCCGATTTGCTACAGTTTTTTTTCCAATTGTTCTGGAGTATCAACCCAGATCTTAATCTCGCTTTCAAGTAACATAGCGAAGGTACGAGTTTCTAAAGTTTCGAGTGCAATAGTAGTCAATATATCCTGGCTTCATCAACAGATTTTACGCAGAAAAGCGATTTCAAAAAAATGACTGCGTTTGCTTCAGTCAAAACATTGAACCTCCTTTTCTGATTTCTCTGTCAACTCTATATTACTCTGAAGTTCCCAGTTGCAAATTACTTCTCGGGCTGTTGCATACACCATATACCATCTGTAGAGTATTATTCGATCATATGTTTCAAAGAGAAAAGTGCATCGATCAATAGGTATTTTGACATATCCGTCCAAACCATATGAAAGCTAGTTGATCATTGTCTCAGCAATTTTCCCCCAAGATATCTCATGTGTCTCCCATCAGCGAAAACAATCTTTCACAATTCACAGACTGAATTTGTTCATAGAAGCATTTTTATGCTAAATTACAGCCAGATAATGGTTTCAGGAAACATGTATCGATAAAAGTACCAATCAAATATTTCTTATGTCATATCCTTTCGCTTGGAATCCTATCAGAGATTCTTCGAACTCTCAAGCACAGTCCTCTACCGACTTTTCTATGATTTTTAAAATCAAGCCTGAGCTAGCTCAAATCACTCGCCTCCCTGTTTATACGTTTCCATTTGACGCGATTTTGAGAGTCTTAGTATGAATTGCTCATCTAGCGACTATTAGCAGTGCAAAAGTGAAATATCGAGCTGTTAATTTTCCAGCTTGAAAATTTAACTACTTTCTGGGAAACTCTCACAATGTCAGTGCCTCTCAAAGATTTACGTACACGTAAAGTTCAATCTTCAATTACAGTTTTGTACGAAATTTGCTTAACAAGCTGCTATTATCTATTCTTCAAAAGTGAAATGAACTGTCATTTCTCAAAGTAGAGAAACCAGGAAAATTCTTCGAATAAATATACAAATCCAACGCTTTCCAAAAATTTACACATCTCACACATCCGCACAAATGCTTACTTTTGTACAAAATTTGCTTATCAGACAACTATCACCTGTTTTTTGAAAAAGGTAGTCGAGCTACTGATTTGAATCCAAAGGTACTATATCGTGGACTAGAAAACAACCATAAAAGAGAGACGCATTTGGATTTTGCCAGGGAATTTTTGTGCATGGAGAAGAATTGTGAACACTTTCATAGGGTACTTACGAGAAAAGAAAGGGTGCCTGGATCCCAAAAACCTGGATGACTGGAGTCTTTTGACAATGAAGAGCCCAAAGTATGTGCTACAACTCGGGAATGGATAAAAGCACTTATCCTATTCATAAGAATGGAAGTCGGAGGAAACTTCAATGTAATTCCATTATCATAACTGAACAGTAACGGAGATGCATTTTGCCCTTGGAAGTGTGGAACCTGCGGGTCAGATCGGAGTGTGGGACTCTGAGGGGGTTGGAAACTCATGGCAAACAGTAAATATCTCAGATGCGAAACTCTGAGGCAACACATTGCGATTAAGACAACTCAACGGTGGAAAATCCCAAACTAGGGCCAGACCGAAGACTATGTAGAGCAAGATAGGTTAAAGACTTTATCCAGAGGAAAAGCTTTGGGAGACAAATAATTTCTAATAGAAGGTTTTGCCAAAAAATATATTTAATCAGTGTCTGCTCTATTCTTCTCTAATCTTCTGGGAGGAGAGATTGGCTAAGAACTTCAGCATGGTGGGAAAACGGCAAATCTACATAACAAAAGTTACGGTCCTTTTTGTGGATTTGCGGGAATGAGTGCACGCTAGGAACTAAATTACGACTAATCAGTGCTCTCTACATGAAACTACGCGTGCTTCATTGACTAATGTTACACGTTTTGCTAGAAAAAGGTACGCCACAAACTCCAAAATTCTAACTTTAGAACATGTCCTACTTTGCACACACAGCCAGTCCAAAGCGCCGCGAAGCGGCGCTTTGGACTGGTTTTATATACAGGGTGTCCCAAAAGTAAGTACACACTTTTCAATCGTTAATATCTCGCTTCCCATTGCGTCTTTTTCCGCCTTTTGAGTACCATTCTGTAGAGGAGGCTTCAACTTAGATTTACTGAGTCAAGCGAATCACCGATCGCTCTTCATTACTGTAGTATTACTGTAGGAACTTCGACAAGGATTTTATTCCATTGGAAGCCATATTCTGCCTCGGAATAAAACTAAACAAGCCAAAAACTTTTATGTGCTATGGTAATAAAAGCCGCTAATTTCGAATATGAAATTTCCACTTTACTGTGATGCCTCTTTCCAAAGTTATCCCGGGTAAACCGTAATAGGTAAATTCCCAATATGTGTCAGAAATGTGATTGCACCGTCAAAAAAGCTGAAAACACTCGTAAAAAGTTATGTAGTGGAATCAGCATGCGCGAAAACCCTAGTACACAATTTTTCAGATTTTTTGGAAAAATTTTTTCAGATGGCATGTTTCTGAATGATTCCACATGCTGGAAGTTCTTACCGTAATCCCACAGTAACGAAGGGCGATCGGTGATTCGATCGATACCGTAGATCTAAGTCGAAGCCTCCTCTATAGAATGGTGCTTGAGTGGCAAAAAAAGACCAACTGGGAAGAGAGATATTAGCGATTGAAAAGTGCGTACTTACTTTTGGGACACCCTGTATAAAGCTGAATGTCTGTTTGTCTGTATGTCTGTCTGTATGTGTGTACGTATGTTCCGAATAGAAAATTCCATTTCTCAGCCGATCCAGAACAAACTTGGCACGCATGCACATCGGACCCCGGCGGGTGTCATAGGCCACTTTTCGTCATCGATCGATATCGATTTTATCGATTTTTTGCAAAATTTGAGCTACGGGGCTGGGAGTTGGCACAGTTGGGTAATCGAGCATGCTGATCACCCCCGTGGGAGTGATCAGCATGCTTGATTACACCCCTCTGCCAAATTCCAGCCCCCTAACTCAAATTTTGCAAAAAATCGATAAAATCGACATCGGTCGATAACGAAAAGTGGACTGTGACACCCGCCGGGGCCCGAAGTGTATTTGTGCCAAGTTTGGTCTGGATCGGTTAAAATGGAATTTTCTATTCGGAACATACGGCGGAGCCGGGTAAGCCAGCTAGTTCCAAAATAAATTCGAATTTCCCTAGGTATAATGGACAGGAATCAATAATTAGAGTATTCTGATTACACAAGATCTTTGCCTTGTGTTGAAACTGAATGCCTTGAATGTAACATGTTGTTTGTGTTCATTTTTATGATAGGTTGTTTTTATGGTAGCTAACGCGCGACAAATTGTTTTCTTTTCACTTCAGGAGTTCTGAGGTTAACAGTTTGAGCAAGAAGTTATCGCTTGGATTATGCGCGAAAAGAATTAGATGGATGCTGCAAGAAAATAATCTTCTGTATTAAATTTTTGTCAATATGGTAACTGGACTGTATAATTGAACACAAGCAATTTGCGACAAGAAAACATGTAGTTTATGAATCTTGATTTTTCTTCTGTTGAAAAAATTGAGCCAATGGTTCAGTGCTGCGCGTTTCAATTGCATGTCGTAGTGAATTTTTCTGGTACGATCTCAGCACCGTGCATTAGTAGCAACTACATTGACTATAGGCAACGGAGCAATAGAAAATTCTTCAGGAACAGGAAATTGGCCACTCTTAAAAATTCTGAAAGCTCATAAGTTTGGAACCCCACTAGTTTTACGAGATTAAGTAAACTGTAAAAATTTCCGAAAAGCGTCAGTCTACGGACTCATTGTCAAAGTGAACTTTCTTCCCCCCCCCCACTTTAAGAACACTAAACCACATATAGTGTGATTCTATAAAAATTCTAAGCGTCTTAAAAGTGTACTACTCAATATTCGGAACTGTGAAAAAAAAGCTGTTTTCAGAAATTTTCAAAAAAAGTGAAAAATTGTGTAATAGCGTTTCCATGGACGCTGAGTTCAATACTCAACTATGTACAAAAATGCGAAGCTTTCTAAATGGTGTAACCACACTTTTTTAGAATATTGAAAAAACGGCCGGTACTGCTTACCTCGCATAACTCTCCAATGAAGCAATATGATATGTTGGGAAATTCACACATAGAATCAGCGACTCTAATTAGCCCGGCGTGAAAGTTTCCAGGTTGTTTTGTTTGCTTTTTGAGCCAAAATATGGCCTTTCATGGCTCAAAGCCCTCTTCAAAGTTCCTACCGTAATCCTACAGTAAGAAAACTGATTGGTAACTCGCTCCATGCTATAAATTTAAGTTGAAACCAGTTTTACAAAATGATACCCAATGCTCCTCGAAAGACTTCATTATAAGAGAGTTATTAACAATCAAACAGTAGGCACATTTTTTGGGACACCCTGTGTGTGACATCACCCTTCCTCTGAAGTTTTCGAAGATTGCTACAACTTATGAACCCAAAAAGGTTTCGCTGACCAACTCGTGTCACACGTGGACCAGTGGGGATGCAGATGGTACCGTAACCTACATCCACCTCTATAGCACTTCATTTGATCAGTGCTTTGTGTTATTGCACAACTTTCGAAATCTGCAGTGCAAAACTGGTGGGTAAAGACAAATGATGAGCCAGCCTAAAAGTAGCCATCACATTAAGCAATTGGTCAAGTGAGGGCTCGAATCGTGCGTACTGACATCCACCCTTCAGATCTTTAACCGAATAATGGAAAACACATAGTGCATTTGTCTGATTTGGCACAATGCGACATAGATCTTTTTCACTAATTCATGAAGCTGTAACACACAGACAGATGCAACAGTTCATTGCTCAACATCCAAGAAGAGCGTAATAGTTGATTGTTAAGTTCCTTCAAATGCATAATCCTTGGCAATTCTGCTGGTCACAATCGAAAGAAGTAGTACAGGCGTAGCCATTTGGACATGGACTGCAAGCGCGTCCGACACGGTACACATATTCATTTTCCTTGTTACCCCTAAAATTCTGCAGATGCTATTGGCCAATAAAAGATTGGTAGACATACTTTGGAAAGTAGCGACAGACAACCACATAGTCCTCATTCTTCCCGAACTTGCATCTGCCTACGGCACATCCTAGTTTGGTTGTCTTCGCCCATGCCATCTAAAATACCATTTGATTCAACTGGTTTGGCTTCGGGAAGGCGGGGCCTCGTGACCTAATTGAGGCTAGGTAATGATCAGAGAGCACCCGCGCGAGAGAGACGCAGGTGCGTCGCAGGCGCGAGGAACTCAATTAGGTCACAAAGCCCCGCCTTTCCGGAGCCAAGCCAGTTGAATCAAGGGTTAGGTAGTTGATTTCAACCTGTGACATTAAATATACATAAGATTGCGCTTGACTCCATCTTGTAACCACGGAGAAGCTATTACTATTTCTTACCTGCGTAAAACTCTCGATTTTTTTGCCAACGAAATTTTTTTGGAACTTCGCATCTTTTTCAATGCACTCTTTTTCAGGCACATCACGTGCGACCTTCCACCAACTTTTAACAGCCTAAATATCACCAAGATTTATAGATGTTGTCTGAAAACAGATTAAAGTGTTACTATTAGAGCTGCAGCTTTGAAGTCGCCTGCTAAAACTGCTGAAACAGACACCCGCGCATAGAGCTCCCCTACTCTCGGATCCCTCTGATTTTCTTTCGACCCCTCACGTGGGCATGTACGAACATATTCTGTCGCATTTCTTTCCAAGCAGCAGTCCCATTCCTGAAAAATTAGCGTTGTTCCACCGTAAGTGCAAAGAACATACCAATTTTATCATGTTTGAAGCCGCAGAAAGGGGACCATTGACATTTCTCACTTTTCCCAATGCGAGCTGGCTTCTTAAAATGAGTTTTAAGGGCTGTGCATATTTTAAGCAATTCCAGTCGCGACGCGATCTGGCAATATTCCTGTCCCTAACTCATTGTACTAAAGATACGGCATTTTATCAATCCACTAAGTTTTACACACTACATATACATGTGAAGTTTGCTATTGTTGGATCTGAAGACTTTCGGCGAATTGCCAAATGTCGTCGCGATTGAAATCGCGTGAAGTATGCACGGTTTTTTGGGAAAGATATGTTGTGAAGACTTTTAAAGGAATCAGTGAACTCACCTGCGATAGTTGTGCGTGTCCGTAAAGTTTCACCTCAACTCATCATTCATTTCTGTATTGTAACCGCACATTTTGTCTAAATTCCTGCGTTCATTCATGCTCCTTGCAAATTAGACATCTTGAGAATGACAAAGCAGAGGAAATATTGAGATTGAAAAATAAATTCAGCACAGCAGAACTTAAATAGACTCTTAGGTAGTCAGTCGTCTTTCTCTAGCTTCTCTTTCTTTCTAACTTTGAAATATCGTTCCGAACAGTAGTGAGAGAGTACAGAATTGATCAAACTTCCATTTAAGAAGTATCATGACTTTAGAAAAATCACTCATCTGCAAAGGATAGATGAATCTTTGATCGGGCGAGGCAGAAAACCCATTGTTGTCAGAAAGCATGTTCATGGAAAACGGTAGACTATCAAATCTTATCAAGCTTGCCTTGTATAATTAGTAATTGTGGGAATTTATTTATTTATTTGTATGCCCTCGAGGTGCGCCATTAAAAAAGAACACAGAATTTTGAGTCTAACCAGTCACACAGTACATTTGGGAAAAGCTTGTTGCCTTAGATTTGCTACACTGTCCATTCATAATTGAATTGCATGAGATTTCGAAGATAACCAAATAACTCCGACGCTTAGGCTTACCGTACGGATGGTTTCCAGGGAATTTGGCTTCTTCACACAACACTTCCACCGCAAGCAACGTGAAGATCGCGATCTAGAATAAATTTAGTTGCTATTTTTGGCATCTGTAGAAAAGACTTACCACTACTACATGGTATTGCAGCGAAGGCATTTTGACACTCTTCGATGACCCGGTTATGTCGCATCCCTTTTATATACACGAATCATCAGGAAAGTACTGTACTTTACAGAGATCATGACGTGACTGGCCGTATTACAGTGATTCATTTTCAATAATTCTAAGGATCGAGATATGAATTCTGAAATTAAATTTTTGTTTATGTTCTTCTAAATATAACACCGATAGGCAAATTAATTATGTCGAACGAGAACGTTGTGTTGCTGGTGAACAAAAACATCAGCTTATCATCAAAAATAAAAGCTTTGGTTGTCTTTCCTTTAAGCAATTATTTGAGACGTAGAGCTTACTAAGACGTCAAGAATTTTGATAATATTTCGCTCCGCAAGTCTTCTCAGCTTTTCTCGATTCCGTTAACAATTTCCGAAAATGACTTTCGCTTAACCTTGCAATTTCACAAGCTAGACCCGCTGGAGTAAACCAAAGGTTGGGTTTGGGTAAGTGGATCACACCAATTGGTCATTTTTTTCACTACAAACTCATGATGGACGAACAGATTTGCAAATGAGTAACTATCTGAGCTACAGCAAAGGATGGAAAGCTTCAGAAGAGGAATGTGTGTACGAGAATTTTAATTACTTATTATTAGATGATAGGAATGGCAGCGATGCTGACCACATAAGGTGCAATTTGAGTTTAAGACAAACAAAGGGGAGCAGCTAAAACAAGCCTATTCATGCTCTCTAGAATAGTTCCGCATCTTCCTCTACAATCTTTTTTTTTTCTGGTGCAGATTTGTTCAGAAAGATTCGAATAAAGACAATCCACCTTCTCGTTCAGATCACTACCTCTATGTACATCGTCTATGTCTGTTTACATCTGTGTCAAAAATAATTTCCAAGACTACATTTCTTCACGTATAGAGCATCCCTTACTTACAAGTAAAAACACGCATATATATTAAGAAAAAACTATGTACAACTTGTTATCCAAATCTTACTCTACAAAAAGCCTCAAGCGTTGAAATTCATTCGAAGCTGTTCCACCCTCAAAACAACATTTAGACCGCTTACTGTTAGATTCATAAGACTGAGGGCACTTTTATGGCAAGCCCAATTTCGTAAATATACCTTAATGGGTGTTTGAACCTGCGCACTTTTTTCAGAACGCTGTCTTGAAAAAACCAAGACAGAAGTGCACAATTGTCTGGTAGGGACTTCAGCAGTAACGGAATTGTAATTTACACTGGAAAACAAAAATGGGCAAATTGCTAGGTTGTTGTTCCTTCTGTTCTGCTAGGTTGAACCGAAAGTTCTATCATATATTAGGTAGTTCCGAAAGTAATGTCGCTTTTTTCAAACGTATGCCACATTTCGTAGAACAAAGATATGTAAGAGTTTTTAGTAGCATTTGATGCAGCATTTCATTCTCTTTCTAATGGTTATATAAACATTGCACAAAATCCAATAACGTTTCGAAAAATTATCAAAATCTGCGACCTGTGCTTTTTCAAAAGGCCAAGTTTCACAATTTTTCTTGATTTTTATAACACCCTCGAAAGGAGTCCAAGTAATGGATGGATAGAGCAAACCCTACAGGAAACAGCACAACTTTTTTTTTACTTTCCAGAGCTCGTCATAATTTTTGTATAGATTTTTTGATGGAACCACCGAATTTTAGCATTCTCGCCCCTAACATAAATGCATCAAACACCAATAAATTCTCGGATTTTGAAACTTACAAAGATGGATTATGGTTTGACACTAATTTTGCAAACCAAATGAGCATTCATCGCTTCAGATTAGCAACTTTCGAAAATTTCGGTTACAGCCTGAGGCGCCCTGGGAAACCTGAATTAAGATGATTTTATCCCGGAAAATTTGATGAATCGGAAACAAAAAACAACTGGTAGAAAGAGTATAAAAAGCTGCGTCGAATGACACCCGAGTTGCTTGCCGGTTGTTGTTCTGTGAGGTTTGAGTTGATCAAATATGGGATTTGATTGCACTGGAAAATTGGTTCCAGAAACTCCAAGAAGCAAGCTAAGGAAAAGAAAAAATTACTCTGTGTCCTGTAGGGTTTGCTCTATGTACCAATCGCTTGCACTTCTTCGGAGAATAGGTACGAAAATTTAGAAAAATAGCCGAACTTGACCATGGCAAAAAGCATGAGTCGCAGATTTTGGTGATTTTTCGAAAGCTCATTGGATATTATGCAATGCAGTTGTAATTATTAGAAAGAGGATGAAATGCTGCATCGAATGCTTCTAAGACTTCTCGAAATTGGAAAAAAGCGACATTACTTTCGGAACGACCTAATACAATTCGCAACTTCTTACTAACACAAAATTTTTGCATGGCCAAAATTCTTTTGGAAAGAGCAAATCGAATTTTGTAGAGGCCTCTTCGACTGCTAACCACTAAGCTTTGAATGCAGAGATAAATTTTGGAAAAGAAAATCACTTCAGTTTTGGAATTTTGAGGGATACCCGTAAAAAATTCCAAAACTGTGCCATAAATACAAAACACTCAGTAACCCTAAGTTTTTTGACCCCTCTTTCTTGCTGAGCGAAATTCGCACTTATCGAGCCTTTCTTAAAAAAGCTATGATTTTCGAAAGTGCTAAAAAATCAGTTTCCTGTGGGTTTTTGACATGTTTCCTCAAAACTCATAGCTTTTTTGAGAAAGCTCGATTACGCAAAATTTGCTCAGTAGGAAGAGGAGATCAGCAAACTAGGTTACTGGCTGTTCTGGATTTGATGGCACAGTTTTGAAATTTTTGACGATTTGCCTCCAAAATCCGAAATTGAAGCGATTTCCTTCATTTTTTATCCCTGCATTGAGAACCTAGTAGATAGCAGTCAAAGTGCCTCTAGAAAGTGCATGGTTTGCTCTTTCCAGAAAAGCTTTAGTCATGCAAAAACATCTTGTTAGAAAGAAGGGTACATTTCCGTTATCTGTCCGGATCCATTTTTTCAGAAGGCTCTTATAATATACGATCTTTAATCTCAGAATAGTTTTTTGTGTATTCTAAGAAGGCTGCACCCCGCCACGTGTCAGAAAAAATTTAGTACATTTTGACTTGTTTTTTTTTGAGATCATTTCCGGTGGGGTAAAAAAGCTTTGTGACCACCTAAAAGCCTTTCAACTGTTTTCTATAGAAGCAAAACCGCCCGTCAACTGTCTAGAGCTTATTGCAGAACATCTTAGCTTTCGCAATCATTCAAACTTGCCTTCCTCTTCAAACTTTCCGCCATGCGAATTTAATTAGGAGAATAAATGATGGCCTGCGGTATCATATTAATAGGATGACGTTATTACTACAAAAATATTCATTTCTACAACCATTTATTCAAAAATGGGTCATTATTACTCAAATACTGATTGAATTTATGTCGCTATTTGATGCAAAAACAAGTCTTGGTAAAGCATGTTAAACATGTAGATGACATGTCAAATTTTTTTGACACGTGGTAGAAGGTTGACACTGCTTCCTGTGAATTTGGGATCAAATATGGTACATGAGAAAAAGCAAAATCCTTCTTTGGGAAAAATAGGTCTGGATAGCTGAAAAGTACCGAAAGAAGTTACGATTTTTGTAAATGAGGACAGAACTTTCGGTTCAATATCATTTATAAAGAGTCTATAGTGCAACAAACTCTTCGATGAAAACGTAGTGCTTCTACAAACATCAATTCTGGTGGTAGCATGGAAGACAGGATACAGGATAGGATCTATCACATCTAAATAGAACTCCACTCTGGCAGTCTCTGCAGTGTAGGCCTCGGACGTCGCGATTCATCGCTACATCGTATATCGGTTGTGATAGTTAGCATGATTAACTAGTTAGTCATGATTAGTCGTGTTGGAAAACTAGCACAACCGAAATGCAAGAAGATGGACATGCAATGATATCTGTTACAGTTGACCTGTCGTAATCAATCGCGACGATGAAATCGCGTGAATTCTGCCTGAGGCCTCAGGGGATGGCTTCTGAAAAAAATTGGCTTTATGATTATAACATAATTGGCGTAACTTAATATTTAACAACTTTCATAACTCTCATACATTACTTCTAATAGTGCCGCTTCATTTGAGTACCCTTTCCTAGACAAAGACAAGCGGAAGGTTACGTATGCAAAGATGAGCTCATGCACAAAAATCACTTACCCTATTTTCAGGAGTATAAGCCGCGGGAGATCTTTTGTAAAATCGATCAGCCCAAACACGTCAAAGGACTTCGCGACCGAAGGACCATATATTGTGCTGCATATTAGTTGAGAGAATCGTGCCACACACTGTTTTTGCTAAAACTTCGTCTAGGGGGGTTTTTTTGCACACTGATTACAAATATCCCATTTATTTCGCACGGTAGTGCCATCCGATGGAGTTACGGTAGGGTTACGGTAGGGGTTGGAAACCACGGATTCGCCCCAGATTGCGTCCAGGGGGTTTTTTGGCACGCTGAGCAAGAAAATCATATTCTTTTCGTACGATGGGGTTATTTTCTGGTTTACTGCAGGTAAACATAGTTTGCTGAAAATTCCAAATTTGCTCAAAACTTTGCTTAGGGGGGATTAAGCACGCTGATGACGAATTCATGCTCATTCGCTGCAGCAATGCCTTTGCTAAATTTGCAGCTACGCCTTCGTTATATTACGAGGAGCTACAGTGCGTGAAAGAGCAACTTTTCCACTATTCAGCCAAATTCAAACCTCAAAAATCCACGAAAAGGTTTTATCATGCGAGACGATTGCGATCAGCGTGTCCGATAGCACCTCTGCACAAAGTTCGAACAGATCTATCAATTTAGCCACCTATCGTATGCCTGTCGTAAATAAGTGAAAAAGTTGTAACACGCAGAAAGAGTATAATATTCGTCATCAGCGTGCTTAGTAACCGCTCTAGGCAAAGTTTTGAGCAAATTTTTAATTTTAGCAATCTACCGTACACCCACTAACCCAAAAATGGCGCTGCCGTACGAAATGAATATGATCTTCGTGCACAGCATGCCAAATAACCCCACTGAACACA